TTACAATTTTTACTTCCTTGCAAACTACAGAGAACGTTAGGTAATACCGCGGCAATAATCGGCGATTTTTCGACAGAAAATCTCTTCCTGTCGGACCCTGATATCGATGTTACAACAACACATTCTTTCTTGCGTTATTTGTAACGGCTACACAATATTTTAAACCTACGTGAACCTGCAAAACTGTTTCCACCAACAAATAATGTTTCTACGCCAGGGATTTGAACTCAACTTTACAGTAAGCACGCCATTCACGTTAGTCTATTCACCACCAGCCTCACAGCCAAATCCAATCTTCCCGAACCTTAAAAAATATAGTTGACATTTGCATTTCCAATTCTGAAAACTTGGGATTTTCAATTACATTACTTTTAGATTTGGTTTTAAAGATCACATTACATTAAGGGGGAAATCCTTATCTGCGATATTGTACCTTTGCAATGTTTATTTCTGCAGATTTCGAAAATAGAGAGTTCACTGAAAATGGGTCCTACGCCATTTTCTAAGATTCCTTTTCACTATTCGACGAAAAAATTAACAAGTTTCAAAAAGTTCAAAAAGTTTGAAGCCGTTTTTGAGATATTTTATAAATTGCATCGAATAAAAACGAATTACTCGTTTTCTTTAAAAAAAATGTGTGGAACCTTAACGCCATAATTTTCTGAAACATATTTCATTAGAAAATCTCGATCTCTAATATTGCCCTTTTGAAATGAAAAATTGTCGAAAATATAGAGTATTCCAAAAAGAGACCTGCACCATTTTAAAACGTATTTTGCTCTGTCCGGGCAAAATAATTTAAAGAAAAAAAGTCCTTTTATAGAAAATAATGATTTGAAAATTGCCAATGTCACACAAAATAACGCCAAAATTACCTACATTTGCCGGACATTGGACATGACATTATTTAAAGACTTGTCTTTGAAATTATTTCACTAGGGAAAAAGGGCTATTTAGTACTACGCAATTTAGGACTACAGGTGTCTTATAATAAATGTTACAAACTTTTAGGACATGTAGTGGGATGGATTGATTGTTTGATTGATTATTAGTGATTCCGAGCACGTGTTCTTCTAGGGCCATTACTCCCGTAAGTGTAGCATGTTTTGGCTCGGGAAGTAGCGGTAGTCTTTCCCCACAGTATGGCGAGATCCAGTAGCGACCTACCGTCGACTAGCGGGATTTTCCCCAAACCAGGTATCTCCCCCAGCGAGGCACCGCTTCAGCCAGAACAAGCTATCAGCTCCCGATCCGCGGTCTGTGGCTCGTTTGTTAACTTACTGCGCCGGCATTCGCATGGTATTGATCGGAGAAACAACGGAAAGATACCAATTAGAGGAGCTGGCCGCAAGAATTCTCCTCCAGACAGAGACTGAATTAGACCTAGCTGACAAGCCAGTGTCGAAAGTCGTGCCACCGTCGGGACTCGAACCTAGGACCCGGTCAGAAGGACTGCAATGACATCAGTTGATGCTCCGAACCATCTCTCTCGATAATGGGGTCAAGAGGATCGATTTTCGCCAATGAACATTTGGTGGAAAATTTCATATTACGAAGTTATAGGTGTGACATTTTCACTTGATTTTGGGGTCACGTCCCATACACTAGTGTTCGATAGGTCTCGTTCTGATGCAATCAAGAGATTTTGTGACGTTTGATACATCGTGACATTGGTGCATGAGACGTTACATAACAATTAGGGGGAAATATGGTTACAATAACAATTAGGGTCACACATGTAACAACATTACATACAATTTTCCCCCACATGTTCAATGGCAAGTTATTTTCGCTCCTCTCGATACCCTAGAAGTTTGTAACATTTATTTTGATACATCTGTACACAGTACTAGAAAGTATTATACGTTTATCTGTACGCCCATTTGTGTCAGATTGAAGTCCTAGGCTCCCCCGGCCAGAGTCGAGATCTTGACTGTCGGGTGACGCCGCGTCGAAGGTTAGGTTGCCGACGTTTGGACCATCTTCTCGTGGTCTTCCTCCGTCTTCATAAAACCGAGCTCTGATCACTCCGGCGTAGACCAGCCCTGCGGAGGACCACGAGAAGATGGTCGAAACGTCGGCAATACAGCCTTCGACGTGGCGTCAACCGGACTGCCAATATCTCTGTTTCAGATTGTTTGCCTGCTTGATTGGTGAGTGATTCTGAGCACGACAACTGCTAAGGTCATTAGTCCCGTAAGTGTAGTAAACGCTTACGCTCGCGGGAGGTGGCGGTGATCTCCCTCAGAATAGCGAGATTCAGCGCCGACCTACGTCGGCCCCAATCACGTATCTCCCACGAGCGTGGCACTGCCCCAGCCGGGACAAGCTCTAAGCTCCCGAGAGATCTCCGACAGGTGTGGTAGTGTAGTGCATGTTAGTGTAAATGGAGTGAGTAAGAGGTCAGGATAGGACAAGGAAGAGGAAGGAAAGATCCGTGGCCCATTTGTTAGGGTACCAGCATTCGCCTGGTGTTGATCAGAGAAATCACGAAAAACTACTGATCAGAGTAAGCGACCGCTAGAATTCTTCCCCATACAGCGGCTGAATTCGACCTAGTTCTCTAGCTAGTGTCAAAAATCTTGCCACTGTCCGAACTCGGACCCTAGCACCTCCCAGTCAGAGGCACTGCAGTGATACGGGTTGATGCCCTGAGCTACCTTTGCCGGTGTGTATCAGATTGCGTTAAAGAATGAATTTAATTTTACGTGATCGTTCGAACTTTTAAAGTCTGCGAAAATGGTTAGTAATTCACTGATTATTAATTCTTGAAATATTTAATCATTAAAGCGACATCACGCGTGATTGGAGAAAGGGAGGGTCTTCATAAGGAGTCGGAAATTGACACTGTCGACAGAAAAACTCTTACTGGCGTACCCTGGTAACGAAAAAGTGGCTAAATTTTGATCCAATATGTAGTAAATTACTTCCTATAATTAATTTCTCGAAATCCACAAATTCTGGGTCCTAATTCCTGAAAATCGATTCTCCATGTGTCCGTTCACCCTGTTCTCTCTGTCTGTGGCCAATGCTAGTGCCTAAGCCGTTCAGACAATTTTGTTCAAAATTGATATTTCCCTGATTGATCTGAATGAACTCGAAGACCTGTGAGATTTAAAGGGATATTTTGGTTTTGTGAGGGTATTTTGCATAAAGCCTCAACATCTTTAAAATTTTCTCTAAAATGTTTCGATTTTGTTTATTAAACCTTGTTTTCATATAGTGTAAAAAGCTCTTAAAGGAGTGGTGCAGGTCTTATTTTCGTTGAAAAACCTAATTTTTCGAAAATTGCGAAAGTTCAAAATCTTTTCGGCATCTTCCTACAACTACAGTATTCAAGATAAAAAGGTTTTTCTAAATGATATTTGTTGTTCAAATACATCTTGAAATAATGTAATGTACAATTTTTCAAAAATGTGAGTAGTTTTTGCGAAATTTTCGTGAAATATAGGCAATTTTAAACAACTATTTCTCGAAAACTGTTCCAAATATTTTCTTTAATTTTTTCTTTCGTATCTAACAAAGAACGTTAAAGAAAGAAGTACTGGACACATTTTCGGCGAACTCTGTATATTTGAAAATTGCAAAAAAATATCGTATAAAAAGCCCAATATTGATTACACGATTTCTTTAAAATTAAATCTGCTCTGAAACATCAGTTCTTTAAGAAGCGTCATGCACGTGTTTTAAAAAAATGAATAATTTTACATAGTTTTGCAAATATTCGAATGTGGAAAATTTCTATTTTGAATTACCCCAAAAATTTGAATTACCCGCACTTGTCTTGCTAGAATATATCAGGAGTTATCAAGTTGCAATACAACTAAGCAGACGTCGCAGATTCAAATTTTCAGAATAACTACTCATTGTTGGGGTGTTTCTGGGTGTGTGGAACAGAGTTCAGGATTGTCAAATTTTTGTTGATATATTAGTTTGATATGAATTAAATTTTCGCGTCTAATGCGTTACAATTGATAATGTTTTACAGTGCGAGATGTGTTAATACGGAGATAAATTGTAATATTACTATTACATGTAACCGTTACTGAAGCGAGAAATTAGATGCTGATGTAGCATTACTGGGAAGAGGGGTTGAACACAAACGCTTCAAATTAACTCCTATAAAAATGTTTGACATCTGAGAAGTTTTCAAATATAAGTGACCTCAAAATGGCACTTTGCAACATTTTTTAAAAATTATTTTGGGCCTTCCCGCAACTACGGGTTTTATTTTAAATTCTGTGTCATCAAAAAGACTCCAATGCTCCAAAATGTCCATATTAAAAGACGTTTACTCTTCTGTGATATTCAGGACGACTTATTCTAACTAATTCATGACAAGACAAAAAAATTGATAAACTTTAAAATGTATTTTTTAAGACGCTACAGTTATGATATAAATATTACAAGAAAACTTCAACATCGTGTTAATTGAAAATTTATCTAAACGATGTATATATAACATTGTTGACATGGCAACGAATTCTGTGGAAAGTCATTGAGATGTTTAGTCGCAGCGTGGTTAAGAATAGTATTGGCTACGAATGCAACATAAAGATCAATTTTCCTTATAAGGTTCGGTTTACAAGATACTTGAAAATGAACATGGTGTGCATTTTTTAGTAGTTTCATGAGATATTTGCACAAAGTAGATGAAATATTAGAATTACAACTTTTGCAATATAATTATAATTTTACGTAACCGTAAGAGAAATTCAATGACATGTTTTAGCACAACTTCGGAAACGCTTTATACTTGCAAAACTCAATCGTTTTGAACGAATCATTTTCGACTTTCATCAAAAGAAAGTTACAATTAAGATTAATGTCTACCTCTCATACAGCAACAAAAATAAATTACAATGAAACAACTTTTATCTGAATATCCCTTTGAAAATAAAGAAATTGAACGTGCATTTCGAAGTGCATTCCATATACTTTCACTGTTCTGTTTAATTATACATTAAGTGTAAACTAATTTTAACTCTTTTGACCCACAGCTCAGGGAGCAGTGCAACTCCTCTAACAGCCAATGGAGGTCTTCTAGTGAAGAAAGTACCAAATACAAAGGATGTATCCGATACCAACCACAAACGGCCTATGGTATTAAGCCACTTACCTAGTCGGCCACCAGTAGACATACAATTCTCAGATTTATCTTATTCCGTGCCAGAAGGACATAAAAAAGGTAAGACTTTTTTTAAATTTTCAGGTAATAAATACAGTTCATTGAACACACCTAGTTTGCAATTTCTTTTTTTCTTCTCATATGAGTAATTCAAAGTTATATAATCAAACAATGTTGACATTTTTAGGGAAATACAAGTTTCCCTCGGGCCCTGAGAAAAAAATTGTTTTTATTTTTCATTTCAACCGTCCGTCCTTTCCTTCATTACTCCATCTGAAAACAGTACTATCGTCTAACCAAAAGGAGAGACCGGGGCTAGTTGGCATCAGTACTTTTATTCAGTTGTCTACACATCCTTCGGGAGGTGAAAATACCTGCACGCAGTCTGAAGCACGTTACAGTCAATTTACAAAATTTACAAAAATTATGACAAATCACATGAGTACACTTGGCTATTCGTACAAACAAGAAATGCTACAACAGCACATCCTTTCTCGCTTTATTTGTAACATTTGCAGCTTTCAAAAATTCTTATATTTAAACGAAAATTAGACCTACGCCGTTATTTAAGCATCCGTTGCTTTCACGGAAGTCTGTTCTAAGCACCACTAGTTTCACTTTCTCGCACACTACTTACGCAATGTAGAGAACTTTTTCTAATGCTGCGAGAAAAAGAATGATATTTTTATAGAAAAACTCTTACTGTGGGTGGAAAATGTGGAAAAATCTTATTCCTATTTGTAGTAAATTACTTCCTCTTACATGATGTGTAGGCATAATTCACGTTTGGTGGGTCCTATACACCAGAAAATCGACTGATGTCGAAAAGTTCTGTTCGTCTATCTGTGAACAACGCTAGCGGCTAAACCGTAAACAGGATTTTTACCAAAATTGATATTCACCAATCGATCTGACTAATATCACGGTCCCTTGAATTTGAAACGGATATTTTGTTGTTAGTGGTACTTTACATAAAGCCTCCACATTTTCAAAATTTTCTCAAGAATAGCTTTAATTTTTTTTCTTTAATTTGTTTCTTTCTACTATCCGTTTAATAAAATGGCGTAGACCGGTTTTCGTTGAACGCCATGAATTTTTGAAAATTGCAAAAGTTCAACCATTTTCCGACGTTCCTACAAATACAATAATGAAGATAGAAATGTTTTTCCTAAATGAGATCGGTTCATCAAAAAGATCTTCAAATAAACGGCTCCAAATGTTTTCTTTATTTTCTTCCTTGTATGGAGGGAAAAATGGTAAAGAAAGTAGTGCTGATCTCTTCGTTTTTTGTTTTTTTTTGTTTTGTAGAGCTATATGAACTTCCAAAAATTACATAAGTTTTAAAATGTTTGCCGTCTTTCTATTACTACAATATTCAAGATTTTTAATGAAATCTATTCATCAAAAATATATCTTGAAAAAAGGTCTTCTTCATTTTTCGAAAATTAGTAGTTATTGCTTCATTTTGCATGAAACATGCAATTTTTAAACAATTTTAAACAATTATTTTCTCAAAAACAGATCCAAATATTTTCTTCAATTTTTTCCCCGTATGAACGGCAAAGAAAGTGGTGCTGGTACCATTTTCAACGAACTCCCTGTATTTTCAAAAGTCGCAAATAACAATTTAAATTTAACATTGTAAAAGTACAATTTTAATGTTAAAGATTTTTGTTCGACGAAATCTTCTAAAAAATCAGTTCTTTAAATAAAGACAATGTACATATTTTTTTAAAATATTAGTAGTTTAGCGTACTTTTGCGAATTTTTGAATTTGCGAATTCGAATCTCACGCGCACTTTTTGCTAGTCTTTAAGGAGATATCAGATTGGAATGCTCCAATCTGATCCGCGACACGGCAGTTGGAACTTCTGTGAATTCTTTCTGATTGTTGGGAGGTTATTATAGCTGTACGAAACTCAGTTTTAATTGTCGAATTTTGTTGATATATTAGTTTGAAAACAAATTAGTTTTCGCACCTAATGCTCTTCGATACTCTAGAATAAAAATAAGACCCGATAAAGCACTAAACGTTCCGTTAGTAGATATGACCTTACAATTCTAGAAAGATCAAATGACAACCTAGAAAGAGCCATGTGAAGACTAGAACCAATAGCAAGAGAACGGGCGCACGCCAGCGGTAGTACAAGCGGAGCACCGCACAAGGGGGCATTTATGAAAGGCGGTAAAGTTTTAAGGCGTTTTTAAATGTCTTCATTATTTTTTAATTTTTTATTTTTAAAACGTTTCCTTTATTATTCACAAACATACAAACTTTCTTTTAGTGTTAAATTATGGGCCAAAAAAATAATGACGCTAATACATAATTATAAGTAAAAAAAATTTTCGGAGATTTCATCAATTTCATATAACAAAATGTCGGTTATTTTTATAACTCATACGGCCACTTTTAAATTGTCACTCGACATCAAAGTCAAAAGTGTGTATAAACTAAATAAAATCTTTGTCACATTCAAAAAATTTGCGCAAGTGCATAAATTTTCCCGGCGCTGCCACAGAATATAATTTAGAAATATAGACACTAAAAAGTAAAGGGAGGGCGTTTCAAAGGAAAAACCCCACACCTTCTCAAATAATTATTAATGAGAAACCTATTGAACAAGTCTCACATGCTGCTATTTAGGAACAGACACCTCCTATAAAAATATCGAGACAGAAATTAAAATCCAAAGTTTTGAACATTAATGAGAGACGATTTACATCTCGGCAAAAAAAACAAGAAATGATACGGGAATGAAATAATGGCGACACCAATCATAATATATGAAAGCAAGAGTTAGGTCCCCTCGCAAAATGAAGTCAATAAAACACAAACTGCAGAAGTGAGGTTCTTCAGAAGAGGTAAAGGTTGTTCTATATTAGACAGAAAAGAAATGAGAACATAAGAGCAGAATGTTTTTACTATCGGGAAAAAAGTGGCTGAATACAGGAGGAAATGGAAAGAACATATCCAACGAATAGAGGAGTACCGATTGCCAGAAATAGATATCACAAACCTAGGGGAAAGATAAATGTTGAAAGACCTTTTAAAAGATGGTAAGAACTTTGTTTGAGGTCGGAACAGGCATCGCCTACTCCGTGAAGTTGAGAACAAGATGTACTACGATTTGTAGACTTTTATGAATAATTAGTGAGATGTGTTAATATGGACAGAAATTGCGTTGTAATAATATTAGGTAACAGTTACTAAATGCGAGGAAGTATGTGCTGTTAATACCACTAATTAGCGTAGTGATTATTTGTAGCAGTTGTCTAATATAACAACGACAATAATAATAATAATAATAATAATAATAATAATAATAATAATAATAATAATATTAACAATAATAATGACCACTCACTTACCCCGAAAGGTTGCAAACCGAGGGATCTAAACGTAAGCATCGGATACACGCACGTTATCCGATTAAAACATGGATGAATACAAGCAATCGGCTCCTGAAAGTGCACGCTTGAATATTATTCAGTATTAATGACAATATTCCCATCTTTTGTTTCAGGGTTCAACACTATTTTGAAAGGCGTTAATGGCAAGTTTCGATGCGGAGAGCTCACAGCTATCATGGGGCCTTCAGGAGCAGGCAAGAGCACCCTCATGAATAGTCTTGCTGGATACAAGTCAGTGTCATTTCGCCTCATTCATTACGTTATTTATTTGTTGTATTTATCCTTACTTTGTATATTCTTACGACATTCATTTCAGAACTTCTCATTTATCCGGCTCTGTTCGCATCAATGGCAAGGAACGCCAGTTGCGACGTTTCCGGAAAATGTCTTGCTATATCATGCAAAATGATCAACTATTACCACACTTGACTGTAAAAGAAGCAATGAATATCTCAGCAAATTTAAAGTTGGGAAAAGATGTGTCTCAAGCAGCAAAGAAAATTGTTGTAAGTGTAAAAGCTTCATACATATCAATTTTGTTCTGATATAATGTAATTCATTAAAGGCGCTATAATTTGCATTTACTTCTTCACGGGTTACATTTCACAGCGATTCAATTTCATATTTGCAATTCGTGTTTATCTCACGTCAATGTATATTTGTAGTTCACAGTAATGAAGGGTAATGATTTGACTCTCTCCTTAAGTGAGCTTATTTTGTATAAAAATGTGCGATACTTCACTATATTAGTCTTCCAATAAGAAAATTAGTTTCAACAAAAAAATATTGATTTGTAATTGAAAAGGCACGGCAATAGAAGCACTTACTCCAAGTTGCATGAAAAAAGTTTAAAAGATGCAGGTGCATGACCCTTATTTATGGCTCGTAAAAATGTTTTCTCGCAATATAAATGCTTGTATAGTTCACGAGTTTCTTCGCTCTGGTTTCTTCTATCAATACCAGGCGAATACCGGAGCAGTACTCTACCAAATCGGCCACGAACCGCGCGCGATCTTCACTTCCCATTCCTTGTATTCTCACTTCTTATACACACACCTACATGTACTACACTACCACACCTGCCAGAAACTTAGAACTTGTCCCGGCTGGGGTGGTGGCCCGCTGGTGGGAGATACCTGGTTGAGGAAACTCCCTCTAGCCAACAGAAGGTCGGAGCCGGATCTCGCCATCCAGCAGGGCAAGATCGCAGCCACCTTCCGAGCAAAAAGCATGCACTACGCTTAAGGGACTAATGACCCCAACCGTTGACGCGCCCGGTATCACAAGTAATCAATCAATAATGCACTGGTGCTTGAACATACTTTTCTGATATGCGTAATTTCTTCGAAATAATCATTCCTTCATTGACAAACTGCTTATCATTATTATGAAATCAATTTGAGATATGCGATAAAGCGATACCGTTTCAATTTTGTAAAGAACAATAGATTCATCTGAAACAGGTTATCGACTTTCCTTTTCTGACTGAAGAGGACATATAATTCACACGAAGGGAAATTACTTGTTCTAAAACGAACCTTGTATTAATACTCCGTATTCAATTGGTGTGGATTTCGAGAAAAGAAGGAAATAATTTGTTTATTATGTCAGCATGTTTATTTCTTCAGTCAATCGATAGAGCCTAAGATATAACGTTGTACAATCCAGAACAATGCCATGCATTCTGTACAAAGTAGCATAGTAGCTGTACGAAGTAGCATAATAAGCAAAATTGTCTGGTCTACAATATCAGGTACTTTCTCTAAAGGCCTAACCAGGCGCCCCTCGTAAGTAACACGTCTGCTTAGAAGAACATGACATACCAAATTTTGCCACCCACCATGAAAAACAACAAAGTAGTAGTTATAGAATGTTCTACGTGGTCGAGACCAATGTAGAAAGGTTAAGGTATAAGGTTATTTATTTGGGGGATAATCTTGTTCACTCCATTGGCAACTAAATTGGTTGATTGTTTTACAAACACAAATTTAATTGCCCTGCAATAGTTAATGGAAGAAAGAACAGAGTTTTTCCAAATAAAATTTATTAAATGGAACGATGAGCAAGTCTTTTATAAAGGAAGAGCAGAAATACTGAACTAACGTTCTTCACTGGAATGTTGTTCAGAAAACTTTTGTTTGTAGTGATCCTGTTCCATTCCATCGCAACCTCACTTCACGTTGATGTTAAATGTACTAGCTTCCGTTTTGAGTAAACCTTTAGGATAGCTTAACTGTTTAGATTCCTTAACGTTACAATAAGGCGGATAAAATTTCCAACTCAAGTTCTAAGCTTGCTGTTGTAATTGTTTGTATTGACGACTATTGTAATTGTTTGTATAGACATAGTGATATCCACCAATAACGCCAGCGCCTTTCCGGCGATAGCTCTGGCTTTTGTAGTAAGGATCTCTTAGCCTTTTAATAACTGTTCCCCTATTTAATGCTGCAGTGGACAATTCTTTGGCAATTGCTGCCGAATCTCTTTCCCTTGCTTTCTTTAATTGTATTCCTGCAGCCATATCCAGCTCTTTACTGGTTGGCTGCAAGTAGTGTTTAGACTTCTGTCGTTTAGTTCCTGGAACGCAAATACTGACGCGTGATGCCCGACGAAATCCAGTTAGGGTAGCTTCTGCAGTCTATGAAGCACTACTGGGTATATTTTCAAAAATAATTTCCTAATTCGATGAATTTTAATGCATAACATGTTCCTTGTGCTTCCTTACTTTATCCCATTTAACACAATCTGGCAAACGTTTTTAATGTACTCTTTGTTTCAAATACTCTAAATTTTTTTTAGAATTTATAGTATTTGCCATTTCTTGCAAAACATACCCAATCTGCCTTCGTGTTTTCTGTCATCGAGTCCTCTAAAAGCGTCCTTCAGAATAATAGTTGCGCCATTCTTCAAATAATGAAAGAAAAATTTCCTTTTCGCAAATTTTTCAAAATTCAAATGTTTCAAAAACCATATTTAAATATCACATCTGCCATGGAGTAGTTCTCTGAGGTTCTCTAAACTAAAACTTTCTTTAAACTTTCGAAATGTGATCAGTTAAATAAAATGTACGTCCCTTTTTCAATACGTTCCTACAAGTTTCTAGATGCTGGTTTTAAAAAGCAAGGAAACTAATAAATAGAAAAAATACTACATAATCACATTTTTTCATGTCTTCTTGTATGTAGGTAAAACCCGTTTTTCTTTACACTTCACCTTCATGATGAATCGGGAGATATAGGTGCCCAGCTTTCGATCCATTTTTTGTTTGGTCTTCCTGTATCCCGTTTATCTAAGGGTCTTGAATCTCTTGCTATTTTGATCAGGCTACTGTTATCTGCCTCGTAAACGTGTTCATCCGAGCCCCTTTCCTCATGTTCTTGTGAATTTAACAATGTATATCACTCCATACTCATTTCTTATATCTTGATTTATCTTGATGTACTTTGTATTTATTCTATCCAATATTTTTTGTTATTATTGCTCTAAAAGTAAGTAACTGAGAATTCTAAGTACAATTTTATTTCTTCTTGTATCGGCGTCTCTGCTCCATACGTTATAAATAGTCTTACTATGGTTTTCAATATTTTTACTTTATTCTCTATATTAAGATATTTATTTCTCCATTTTACGTCTTTTAGATATCCTGATTATAATGCTTAAATTATATGCTGTTTAACTTCATTCTACGTGTCCCTCGTACTTGAAATTTCCACTCCTATATAGTATGTGATTTTCATGACTAGCCAAATTATTTTATTAACGACAATTAATTTACACTTTATTGGAGCCTTTGAAATTATCTTTATGGTTTTTTCAATTGATAGAATAATGTGGTATTGTTCTAACGTTTATGATAGCATGTAGAGACGTCTTTGTAAATCGTCTTCTGAATCTGTGAATGATACTGCATTGTCCAAATAGCACACTATTCTTTTACTTCTCATTTCATAGCCAGGCATTTCTTTTCGCTGTCCATTATCTTATTCATAATCAGATTAAAAAACACAGAACTAACAGAATCTCCTTGTATAACACCAGCTGCACAAATGATTTCGTCTGTTACCGTATTTCCCGCTTGCAGTTTCGTTACGATATGCGTGTTCATGTTTTCAATTATCTTTATAAATGTTTCTGGAATCTTCTCTCTCAGAATACTTAATATGTCTTGTAGGTTTACGCAATCGAACGCCTTCTTTATATCTATAAAGCACCTGAAGGTTGGGACGTTAAATTTAATCGCCTTTCTGACTACTTGTCGGATCACAAATATGGCATTTGTTTTCAACTTTTCAAGTTGAAACTTAGCATGTGGCTGGAGCAGCGCACAGGACGAGCGAATACGCTGCACTGAGATGACTGAATCATAGCACTGCTGTCCACGAACAAGTCGCTGCACGATCAGACACGCATTTCTTCTATCTCCGTGAATTCGTAGTGAAGCTAATACTGTTCCCCTAAGGTGTGGACATCTCACTATCGAAGTAACAGACAAGTTACACGTTCTTATCAACTTGAAAATTGATCTTTCTGCCCCATAGATCGTCAAAATTACGCACTGAGGGCGGGCTGGTTTTGTTCACGGAACAAATTAGGTTCTTTTTTTATTACATTCCAACTTAATGTTTTAGATCACCAACTTTTGAAGGCATGCGCCGCCGTTGCGAGATAGATAAAAATTGACCAATGTAAAGGGAATTGCAACGAGGTTAGAGTACAACACAATTAGAACATATTTGAGCTATGTAGTTCATAAATATATCATTTAAATTTGTTTGAAAGTCTGTAAAGTACTTCCAGGTTTGGAAACAACATCGTTTGTGTTACTGTGGAACATCATTTGTGGTGTAAATGTGTTACATGTTTATTTCCTCTTAATATTCATAGGTGGAAGAAATAATAGAGATGCTGGGACTAGCGGAGTGTAAGGATACCAAAACATCCAACCTTTCTGGGGGTCAACGAAAAAGACTTTCTATTGCATTGGAACTTGTTAACAATCCGCCAGTAATGTTTTTTGATGAGCCTACAAGGTATAATTATACGAGTCAAATGTATGTTTTCATATCAAATGTACATACTCAGTGCAAAGAAATTTATTTAAAATATCATTGTTTCAGTGGACTGGATAGTGCCTCCTGTTTTCAATGCCTCTCTTTACTCAAATCACTGGCCAGAGGTGGTCGCACCATCATATGTACCATTCATCAACCAAGTGCTCGACTGTTTGAAATGTTTGACCATCTTTATATTTTGACGGAAGGACAATGTATTTATCAAGGAAGCGTTCAGGGCCTTGTTCCATTCCTATCATCATTAGGCTTCCAGTGCCCTAGCTACCACAATCCTGCTGATTATGGCAAGTAACAAATGGATTATCTTGAAGTTTTATTTGTTTATAAAAGAAACAAGAATGTTTTGTGCGTTCATAGGATTTCGTCTGGAATTGTTCCTTAAAACTACAGACATTGTAAGCGGCCAATAGGTTACGCGTGAACGAAGAGACGACAACACACATTAGCGACTGAAGATAATAATAATCACTCGTTATTTTATTGAAATTACAAAATTTAAAAGTCACATTCTTCATAAAACGGTTAAACTTTTAATTGTATTTTCAGTTTAAAAATATCAAAATACTATCTGTAAACAAAAAACTTAATTATTCTAAGTTACTTCCGGTGAAACAGCACAAATAATTTTAATATAACGCATTTGGGATAAGTTTTCATACATCGATTCAGCGTCTTTCTTATAATACAACAATTTTTATATTTAATGTAATGTTCCTTTTTTACAGTAATGGAAGTTGCATGTGGAGAGCATGGAGAGTGCATACATAAATTGGTTATGGCAGTAAATAATTCAAAGAGTAACAATTTAAATCAAAAGCAACTTCTAGCACCAAACACTCATACCATGTGTGTTTCTAATGAAATTCCAAAAGAACGTAGTGAAAGTAAGTATTTTGTGTCTGCCTGAAAATTGATAAGCAGTATTTTTGGTTGGAAGTTTTTTTTCTTTTTGTAATTTAGTGTTGAAGGCATTAACTTTACTTATTTTCAGGCTTACAGCACCCCAATGGAATGGCTAAGACCGGAAATACAGGAGCTATTTCAAAATACAGTGTAACTTGCACAACATCTTTGTTGGATTCCGATGAAAGCCTCACAATAGGACACAGCACAGGATTTCCTACATCTGGTTATCTTCAGTTTTACATTTTACTAAAGAGAACCTTTCTCTCAACATTACGTGACAAGGTAATCACCCTCCATTTCATTACGTACATTTTTAAACTTCTAAAACTACTACAACCATTTCGCATATTTACCTTAAAAACAAACATAACACAGAATCATAAGTTTCATTTATTTTGTCTTAATAAATAACATAATACTCTCATAAAAATTATATAATAACAAATTTCTTAACAAAGCATTATAACGGTCGCAGTATTCCCAATAGACATCGAAAACTAGAGTTTGGAGCTGCTAATATTATTTTACCAAATATTTTTAACCCTGCAAAGAAATTTGGCATTATCATGATCGTGATCGTCAAATTCGACTTAGAACTTATTAAGAATGCCATTGAATAAAATTGTCAATGTCATGCAAGAGGTGGATTGCATTCCATTGATCATTTTGAGGTAGGGAAGGGTACAGCTGGATAAGGGGGTGATAAGGGCCTCCAAAATAAATAGATAATCACAATACTCATATGAAAGAGAATAAAAATGTCGAAAATTCCAAAAAAAATCAGCCTCCTAGGGCATTCTATTAGATACAATGAGAAACGTGTTTTTCACGTTTTATTTTTTCTCAGCTTCTATTGCATTATTAGAGTGAACAAAATTGGTAAGACGGAGGAAATAGTTGAATTTGAAGGAATTTTTTTAATCAAATTTAACGCTAAATTCAAATTGATTTTTTTAAAATTTGGTTCTGATTTTCGACCTGCTAACGTCGGAGTAGTCTCAGTTCCCCCCCCCCCCTACAATGTGTCTCATAACATTATATAAAATAACATTTTTTGAGATTTTTTAGTAATGTGGATGATAGTGAAGAATAATTAAAACCTATTTTCTCAGTTCAAATTTTGAAACTCGCGCCAAATGTGATTAAAAAAGAAATTGAAAGACAATAGATAAACGTTGATAAAATCGTTGAGGAGACTTTTTAAGAAAGACGTTCGGGAGTAGAAGCCATTGCAGTTTCATTGAATAGAATCCATGAGAAAATGCAGAAAGTAAATGGGCATAGTATTACACTGTAAACGTCTGAGATGTATCCATATCAGTATCTAATTCACTTTCATATTTTTGATTATTCGAGAACATATGCTTTAATACCTCTGTTAGGGAGAGTGGAATAAATATCTGGTAACGTTGCAATTATACGTGAAATTTCAGGAGAAAGGTCTTTAGCAATTTCTAGCTGTCCTTACCAAGTCTAGTTTTTTCAAATGTTGCTAATCACGAGCTTTTTTAAATTTTATTTTTATTTACTTACTATCTTTAACTTTTACTCATCTTTCAACTATTTATAGATAAAATGATAGGAAGGGATTCTGGAACTCAACAATACGTGCGCTGATCATCTTTTCCCCATACGTCTCATACAGTTTTTACTGTTTTTTTTTCTTTTTTTACTAAATTAATCTAAATTTCTACAATTTTCTGGGAACCTCGAGATTTGTCGAAGAAACTTGACACTTTAGTCGTCGATAATGTGTATTTAATTGGGCTCTTTTCAATCTTTTGTTTAGTCTCTGACCATTGAATGTCTTCTTTACTGTCTGAGGCGGTTTTGATTTTTTGAAAGGACAATTTTTTTTTCACAGCGGGGTCGTCCAAATCTAAAGATATCTCCGAATCAGATAGGTCAGGCGTTTCAGTTGTGAGATCACTTGTCACGTTAGCGGGGAGGGACGTCGCTTGATAGCTACTAGAAGAGAGTTGCCTTTTTGTTCTTGACTTCGCCATGTCTTCCGTTGACTTCTCTGACTTAGAGTCCGCAACTACAGTTGCAGGAAATAATGGTGAAGGAACTGATTGCCAAGCGCTTGGGGAGCTGGAAATTCATGTAAGTTAAAGGCAGGAACAGGGCAGGGGAGAAGAGAAGGGGAAGGTCGATGTCCGATAAGGGAAAGGTTGATACCTTCGGCCTGATAACTGCTTGCGGTAGGGGGGGAGGAGTTAAGATTTGGGCAGTTCATTCCAAATGCCCTTGCAGCTTGCACTGAAAGCAAGTAAGGATATCAATCGCGACGCAAACGTCACGCTGAAAGCAAGTAGGGATATAGAATGCGGTAAACCGCCCAATATTACTTGGAAAGACTCCGGAAGTAGTTCTCATTTCTGGAGCTATGTAGGGTTGTCTTCTAAAACTCATGATTTGGTTCAAATTTGAATTAGAGAAACCGGCACGAATAAAAGACATTGATGCGACATTTTTACCCCAAATTCTAATAACTTGGCTTCTAGAAGATTGTCTGAGATCCTCGGACAAACGTTGGAGAGAATTATTATTTTGTTGCGTGAGATAAGAGGTAAGATATAAGGTAAATTCATGGTCAGATATAATGATTGATTTAACATTGGAGACAAGCTCGTCAGCATTTTTTAGTGGCCAAATACACACAAAGGCTGTTATTAGAGATCTATGCAAACCGAAGGGTTCGTTTTTTCTGCAAGGGCTTCAAGTCAATTGAAGTCAATTGTCGGTGCATTATTCGCAAGTCAATTACAATAGCACTTTTTTTTAAAACAGGGAAATATTCCAGGCTTGAACATACAAGTAAATCTTACTTGGAGCGATGGTTGATTGTTGATTGAGATGAAGATCTTCCATGATAATTACGATGTAGTTGCAGCAAGGCCAAGGAGCAACACGATCGTTGAAAACATACGCACTTCGAGTTTCTCGGAGTGTGTCAGAGAAAATGACACTCACTAAAACACTGAATTTCACAAATAGAGTAAAAGTCGACATCAGAATTTTCACGAAGTTAAGGGATAGAAATTAAACACAAAGACAAAAGAAAACTGAAACAGCTTTCGCTCTTGACGCTTCACTTGAACGGCAACAGTCACAGCGCGCAAGGGAAGCACAGCGGAGCTGCGGCGCCCGCACACCGCCCAGTCTGAATGAGCTCTGTCTTCATAGAAAGTTCAGATACACATTCTAGAGGGGAAACAGACAGTACTCCAACGTTACCACTTCGAAAATCAGTTTCAATGTTGTTTTTTTTCTATTTGAATTTGGTGACAAAATTTGGTTGACAAAAATACCTTCATAGTCAACTATTTTTCTCCGTGTCTCCAATTTTTGTAGGCAGATACATGCAATAGACGCTGAGAAAAAATAAAACACGCAAAACACGTTTTTCATTGCATCTCTGTAACAGATTGTCCTGGGAGGCTGAGTTTAGGGGAATCTACGTCATTTTTTATTCCCTTTCATCGCATTTATCGATTTGGTTTGAGAACACTTTTCATCCCCTTATTCGGCTATATTGTTCGGATCCTGAGATAATTGCTTGAGGAATCCATCTAATCGTTTCTATGAAACTGATGGCTAAATTCTAGACTTCGCCAGCCCTCAACGGGAACTCCCCACTAGTTTCTTTATTTTTCTTTTCATTTACTTCATCTGCTTTTGCCAATTCATTACTTTCTCATATATACTTCATATAAAAAGAAAGTCATCCATTGATGCAGAAAAAGTGTTTATTTTTCAACACAAAAAAGATTTTTTGGACCTTGATACCGACAAAAATATTATTATTCTTGCTCCTATTCTATGTAATAAATTACTTTTTTGTATTGAATCGATTCTCAGAATTCATATTTTGTAGAGACATTGACTCCGACAAAGTATTTTTTTTGAAAAGTCTGTCCGTCTGGAAAACACTAGTGCCTAAACCATAAACAGAATTTTCAGAATAATGAATATTCTTTAATCGATCTGGCTGACGTCGCGGCTCCGGGAATTTGAAGCGTCCTGTTTTAATATATAAGAAGCCCCATGACATGTGTGATATTATCTTTAAATTGTTTTCTGGGGTAGAGAAAAACACGCTCATAAAAATCTCGAATCTCCGATTTTCATGAAAATTTCTGAATTTTCGAAAATTCTACAAGTTTAATTTTTTTAACTCGGGTCACATTAAGACAGATATTTTCTGATGAAATATGCTCCTCAAAATTATGATCGTTTAATAATGCTAGGTACACTTTTTTTTAATAGAAGTAGCTTTCACGAAACTTTATGATTTCGTGGTAATTTAAAAAAAATTAAACATAATTTTCTCAAAAACGGCTCTAATTTTCTATACATTTTTTGCTCGAGTAAAGCAAAGCTACTAGAGATTGTTCATATTGTATACTTAAATCATTTAAAAAAACACTTCTTCAAAAATATTATTAACTTTGGTTTGATTTTATGGAATACCGTGGCAATGAGTTAGAATTTACTGCACATTAAGAATTCATGAAACATTTTAAAAGCACGAATTTTAGCACAAGACTTTGTAGCATTGGGAAACGGCTTTTGCCTTTAGCGGTCACTCTAGTCCAAAGCCTAAGTAGCACAAGAATGTTTTTTTCTGTTACTTTCTCGCCCTTATTTCGTAAGAAGAAAAAGTATTGTAATCGTGTCCCAGAAAACGGCAAATTTTCGATAGAAAAAACTCTCATTGCCGAGCCCTGGTAACGAAAAATTGGAAAATCTTGCTCCCATATTGAGTAAATTACAGAAGACTCTGATTATAGTGAACTTATGGGGACTAACATTTTGGGTTCACTATATCAGAGGTTCACTATAAACAATGATGTCAAAATTAAATAGAATTTCTGCACAATTATTGATTTTATTAATATAGAGATATAGCAAAATACATTAACAGCGCGAACTGAACGTAAACTGCGCGAAAAGTAATCTTTATTTGACCATAAAAATTCAATTTTATTTTCAATTGTGTGCTTCGTTCATTTTTCATTAGTAATTTGTCTACATCCTTCTCCAGAGTTCGTTCCCTCTCCATACTTGATTTTGCATTGTTCACTGTCACTGGGTATCGTAATGCAGTCTTGATACCCTTCGATGCCTTTTGCACTGTTGAAACATCGTCCCACTTTCGGAAGGCCCTTTTACTCGCCTAATAACACACGAGATTCGAGATCCTTTCGGTAGTGGCATGGCGCACGCGACCAATGAAACTGATTTTTTTTCGCGCGGCGGCGAATGTCGCCAGTTTGGGATCGCGGCAGTCGCCTTTCTTGTCGACTACGTAGGGCACCACGCGCTTTGTCCCGCGGAATCTCAAGTAACATCATGTTTGAAACTGAAGCATGCAGTCGCGCGTCGCCGCCGCCAGTCGTAGCCCACGCATGACAAGTTCTTAGTTTCCTCAGAGAAACTGAGTGGCACAAGTCATCAGTAAGGTTCCCATTCCGGGTCCGCTACCTCCACCTCAGTGTGCCTTCTTCGATATGATCTTTGGTCGACGTCATTTTTTTCCAAACTGTCTAGCGTTGGAATTTGTGGCACTGAGAAGACACATTTTCTTCTAGGAGGGAATTAATTTCCAGGACGTTGTATTTCCTACGTTCATTATAGCCGAGGTTCAGAATTCACTATAATCGAATCTTCTTGTGCTTATTTGTAATGTAAGTGAATCGGAACCAGAGACTTAAGGTAGTATGTTCGTTAAATCGGCCACGGTGAAGTATCCCCCAAAAATACTTTAAATAAAAGCGGAATCTATGTTCTTCTAGTTAGTAAGAAAAAATTGGCCCTTGTCGGACTAATCTAGAACTAAATATAAATGAAAGGAAATGTGCGTGTGTGTGTTGCAAATAGACGCAAAATCTATTCGATCAATTTCGCTGAAATGTTCATACTTTGTTATTCTTAGTAATGGGACTGTTTAAAGAGTGGTTTGCATTGAATCGGTCTTGTGGGGGCGATGTTGATGATGATTTATTCGTTTATGACTCGAGCGCTCCTGAACTACTCAACCCACTGCGCAGTCAAGGATTAATCACGTCTTCAGTGCATACAAGTATACTGCCCATGCGCTTGTGAAGTATGTGAAGTATCGAATTATTACTTGAGTCTCGGTCAAGTAAATCAAATTTCTCCACGTTGGTACCATAGCGAACGTATGCCCAAATTTGAGGGAGAACGTTTTAACAATACAATACTTGACAACCAGGACATTGAACAAACCCATATTTGTGAGAAAGTTTTTCATCTAATAGAATTTTTGCCCAGCGTAGCGTAAAAAGTGATTAATAATTACGTGACCAGTAGTGTGTGGTATGTAATGCACTGCAATACCGAAGCATTGTCGTGTCCACTTGTTTTTTAATCAAGTTTAAATTAGTACAGGCTCTTATGGAATAACTTTTGAGGGCATAGGTCTTTTAAGTAATTGAAGAAGTTACTGTTGTATTAGCTGAAAGTACTTTTTTCTTTTATTCAATACATATTAAATTTTTGAGGAATCCGATGGTATTAAATATAACATACCTCACCGAGCATTTTGAGGAGTAATTAGCAAAATACTGCAGCGAAATTCATCGCACCCGGAAGTTCTGACTCTCCGCCTACAAGTTAAGCGGTACTAGTCACGCTGTTGTCAGTACTGCTTCTCCTGGGGAACGAGAGAAAACCACCCTAACATAAAATTTTGTATCACACACAACCACAAACTATTTGACGATAATTCACTTTCAATATAAACAATGTAGACTAACATTCAACGCTGAAAGAAAGTAAGAAAACTCGGCCGTCAGACTCAACCTAACGTATATGCAGAAATACCAATGTATGAAAATGAAAAAGAATGCAAGAGACTAAATTTATTAGTAAAAATTGTTTTTCTATAGCAAATAGTCAATACTTCTCTTTTAACTATTTGCAACTAATTATTTCAATGCTGTCTTCACGTTTATAAACAGCTATTGTTAATCTGTAGAAGGTCGAGTCTTTGACTAGAGACTGGCACGAACTGAGTTCACTAGAACTTGAGTTCACTAGAACTTGAGTTCACTAGAACCTAGAGTTCGGTATAATCGAGAGTTCACTATAACCGAGATTTCACTATATCTGAGTTCACTATAACTAGAGTCGACTGTACTTCCTCTAACAGGAGTAATCAGAATCCATGTTTTGTGGGTCCTTGATACCTTCGATCAAAAAGAGATTGGTGGCAAAACATCTATCTGTGGTCAACGCTTCCGCCTAAACCGTTCAGTCGATTACCTTTAAAATTGATATTCGTGGATATATTTCAATGAAATTGAGGCCCTCTGAGTTTGAAAAGGATATTGTAATATTTGAGGGTGCTTTACATGAACATTTTCAAACTTTTTTCCAAAATTGCTTCAACATTTTTGGATTAAACTTTGTTCTCTGATTGTGTAAAGGGCGCTTAAAAGATTTGCGCAGGCCTCAATTTCGTTAAAATCCTTAAAGTTTTGAAAATTGCAAAAGTTTAAAGAAATTTTGGCGTCTTTTTATAACTACATTACTTATTGAAGATATACTTTTTTTCCCTCAATGAAACGGTTTTCTAAAGACAGACTTCAAAAAGGTATGTACAATTTTTCGAAAATACAAGTAGTTTCTCGTAATTTTGCGTGAAATGTAGGCAATTTTTAAACTTTTAATACATATGTGTTCCTCGTATTTATTAAAGGACGATAAAAAACTTGGTGCTAGTGTCATTTGAGGCGAATTCTGTATTTTCGCAAATTTCAAACAGGTAACATCAAAACTATAAAAAGGAAGATAAAAACGTTTGCCTTAAACGAAATGTTCTAAAGTAAATTAGCTCTTTAAGAAATGTCAAGTACAGTTCTTTTACTACTCAGCAAAAAAATGTACATTTACTCCGTAGTTTTCATGTTATTTCCGCTTGGAAATTATGCAATTTATAAATAACTAGTGGTGCGACAGAACGGCACAGACTTTCCCGTATTAAATTTCTATTTCCTTTGGTCTGGGCTAGCTACTCGGACTTGCCACATACTTTTGCCAGCTGCCATCTATCGCCACCCAAAGTACATTTTTTGACATTTTCTTAATTTCCTGTTTTCTAATTGTAGAGCGAAAATATTGTTTCAAGACTATTAAAGAACAGTAAACGTTCGTTCTAAATGGCAATTTTCTTTGAAAAATTTGGACCCGTTTTAAAAAAAACTCGCGTATAAGCGCTACTGTAAATTCGAAATTTGAAGCTCTTTTTCACAGAAAATTTTTGAGTTTTGAAAAACTTCATTTGGAGTCATTTTCAGTGCTTTAACTACAAATACAATAGTGTTTAGAAATTGCTGGAACTGAGCATATCAACGACGGGAGAGATCTTTAAAAAAATGTATGTTTGTGTACTTTTTTAAAAAATATATATACTTTACATCATATTAAAGAGTACAACTACCACTATCCGTTCGCAATGTTTGAAAGAAAAATTTGGAGCCGTTTTTTAGAAAATGACGTTTGTGCGTTTCTGAAAATGCGGAATTTTGATCTAGTTTACACAGAAAATGGTAAAGTTTACGAGAAACTTTATATGACATTATTTAAAGCACATCTACTCATAAATACAATTATGAGAACAAATTGCCGCTAATATAAATATTAACGACGGGAGAAAGTAAAAAAGTACATTTTTGTAATTTTTGAATAAACAAAAGAATATAGAAATATGGCGTTTATGTCATCTAATAGAGTACATTTAGCACTATCCCTACCAAATGTTTAAAGAAAAATTGGAGCCGTTTTTGAGAAAATCTTGTTTTGTTATTTTTTTAAAATGCACATATTGCACGCAATATTGCAAGAGAACTACTAAAATTTTCAAAAAAAATGTGTACATGATCTTAATAAAAGAACTCACGGTGTAAAATAAATTTTATTTGAAGGGAAACCTCTATCTTAAATTTTGTAGTTGTGAAAAGGCACTGAAAAATATTCCTACTTTTGTAATTTTTGAAAATGCAGAGTTTACCTTGAAAATCCAAGCTTATGAGTGCTATGCAAGTGGTTGTTTTTTATGTTATGGTTGAAGTATTACTAAAATTGAAGTGTCATTACTATAATATTACATACCTGTTATAAATAATATGAGATATGCTGTTCTTACACCACTTGTTTTCTTTTTGTTCTGTTTCTCTCCAACTTTTCCCTTTCTCAAACACTTTCAAAATATGGTCAGCATCAAAGAAAAGACTTTAAATGTTTGTTTTATTTGTTACAAGAGTAAAATTGTTTTATTTGTTACAAGAAAATTGATATTCATATTAAGTTAATAGAAATAATAAGTTACAATGATCATGTGAACTCAGTATTAAAGATGGGAGGTATCCTTATTAAAAGCAATCAATATTTCCTTAAATAGGAAGTATTTATATTGCATTATTGTAATACAATTTACTTTGCCTTTTTCACTTATAGGCAGAAAAAATTCCTGTTGAAGAAAATATTGATCATCTTTCCCTTACGGATATGTTCCACCTTCAGTATTAAAATATAATTTGAAGCATGTGAATCGGAAATATTTTGAAGCATGTGAACTGCTTAAGCAGTGTATTGATACTTTCTGCTTAAAAATTAATTAAAATTATGAATTTGTAATTCAAGGGTGTGAAAGTTGAATAATGCATTATCAATTTCCCACAAATCATTACCCTAATGCTAAGAGATACTGCATTACCTAATGCTAAGAGATACCTTTAGAGTCGTATTTACTCTGACTCAATTGATCTGTCTGGCAGCTGTTATTGCTTGAAAGCAGAAATCTCAAAAACTCTGCCAAGTTTAGAATCTCAGCTATGAAGCTATGCTTTGCAACACAAAACACAGGAATATAATTCTTCTTTTTACACATAAGATTTTAATAATAATTTGCAAAACAAATGAAAAAAGGACGTGAAGGAAATAATAAAAATAACATAAAGGCAAAATATCTCTACTCTTCTTTGTCATAAGAGATACAGGATCATAGCAGATGTATTTTGAAAAATGCATTAAAATTAATTAATACAACATTTGCCATGTACTAATATTTTGTTCTAGTTGTTATGTGTTGTAGTTATACTCTTTAAATTTTAGATTTAAAATAATTTGGTCTCATAAGAATTAAATTACAAATTTATTCAACAAATGTATTTTCTAATAACAATTTACTTATTGAAACAGACCTTAACTCTGATGAGGCTGCTCTCACATGCGGGATTGGGCATACTCATTGGAATGATATACTTTGGCATTGGAGATGATGCATCCAAAGTAATTAGTAACTCTGGATGCATTTTTGCTTCTGTGCTTTTTCTCACATTTAATGCCATGATGCCTACAATTCTCACATGTAAGTTATATGAATGAAAACATCATTAGAGTACAAAATTTAAGAATAATCTTTTTTGCTTTTCTTCTATGAGAATACGCTTGTAAGTAGTGTACACTTTTATTTGTTCCAGTTCCAGTTGAGATGGGAGTTTTTATGAAAGAACATTTAAATTATTGGTACTCGCTGAAGTCATTTTATTTCGCAAAAACAATGGCAGATTTGCCTCTCCAGGTACTAACATTCAAAAAGTACTTCTTTCTAGCAGATGCAGGTGATAAAATAAGCAATTGTTAAATCTAGCATTATAGGTAGGAATATAACGTCAGAGATTATTCTGAAATGGTTAAGTTGATCTTAGGATGATTTTAAACAGGTAATTCACACAAATTTTGGAATGTTTTCTTCCAATCTAATATATGGTATCTCACTGTCCATCCTACAATGAAGATGTTAGTACCTACCTACATTTTGTTTCAATTTTATCTTCGTTGTACAGAAACTAGCTATTTCAATAATTTCAACCAGTCATTGGTTGGGAAATGTGCTTATTCTTAGGCAGAAAATTCTCAGCTAAAATAAAAATTCTTAAGCAGAAAATAATTACCCATTGGAAAGAGTACGATGTATCTGTCAAAATCTGGGCATCAATACTTCTTGTAACATTAAAATTCTTTGGGGAGACTACTTTAAAAGAAAGTAAAAATAAATTGACAGATTATCAATTCACAAAATTAAAATCATAGTTCTTTATTCAATCAATTACTTTATACTAAACTGTTAAAAATATTTCTGTTCACTATTAAAGCTATTATCGAAGAGTTATTATAATACTTAAACAGAGCAACTTACTCATTATTTACCATTATTCATTATTCATTATTATTCATTTCATATTAGTGCAAGAATCACTTTGTTGAAAACTCACATAACTTCAGCAAGTGAATCATATTATTCTGTAATGAATTTTATAAAACTAATGAACAGATAAACATTAAAATTATTTTAGCCAAGACAGATTTTGCTGCCCTCAACTATGCTGCTCTGAAAATTTCCCCACATCTCAACCCTACAGTTATACGATTGCTGTGCAGTATGCAGAAATACTGCATACATTAATATTGTTTTCCTTTAATACAATTTCAGCAAAGTATGAGTAACCTTATAAAAATTGATCAGCACCAGTAAAAATAAATTTGAAATATTTCTCAGAAAAAGTTCTGGAAATAAAATAAATTTGGAAAATTAAAATACAAATGAATGCATTAACGTTAGTGAGTTTCTTGCTGTAGATCCTTCAATGGCTAGTATATTTCCTATATTACTTACTTTTATTTTCCCATATGCTTTACGGGATATAAACGTACCAGAGAATGCTATAAAATGTTGCAAATGTTTGATATGTAGATTTACAGGGAAATATACACTACCAATGCCCAAAATGATTTTTTTAAAGTTTTTCTTACATTTCAAGCAAATTTTAAATAATGTTTATTATAAAATTATTTTATTGTAAAAGTGTGTGTCATTTATCATGTTATAAAATTTATATTTTTACTTTCTCAGTGCATAACGTAGAGAAAATTATGTATTACTACAAAAACTCAATGTCGAGATTTTGACGGTAATAAAAGTTTTGAAGTCCCCTGATAACGCGAAAGTAGTTTTTACTTTCTACTTCGTAAGAAGAGAAAGTAATCGTGGGCCGAAAAACTGCGAATTTCTGGCAGAACAACTCTTATACACGGGCCCAGATAACAAAAAAGGAGATAAGTTATGTTCTTATATGCAGTAAAGTACTTCCTCTCACACGTGGTGTAATCCATGTTTGGTGGATCTTTGATACCGAAAAAAAAAATTATTGACGGCAAAACGTCTTTCTGTCTATCCGTAGTCAACGCTCACGCCTAAACCGTTCAGCCGATTTTCCTCAAAATTGATACTCCCCACATTCACATGCAGCAAATAGGGAAGATGTAGAACGTGTTAAGGATAATCCCAAAAGAATTGTCCAAGAGTATTCTGAACTACATCCTGGTCAGACCAAACGGAAGGAACAAACTCCACAAAAGTCCCTTCGGGTGTACTCTGTTACCTGAACGAGAAAATGTGATGAAAATCACAAGAAGAGAAAGAGAGAACAACCAACTTTCTTAACGGAACTCGGAGGAATTTCTAATTGGTTCACTAAAACCCTTCGAGGAGAAAGATTCTTGTTGTACGACAGCTATGTGAAAGACCGCATCAGTGGAAATCACGTTATAATTTTCGGAACAAGACAGAATCTGGAAGTGTTAATGAAAAGCTCAACTTGGTTTCTTTATGGGTCGTTCAAGGTTAGTCCAACGATTTTCAGTCAATTATTCACAATTTTGGGACTAGTCACATTGACTAAATATCTTTGGCGACGAGATGGAAGTCTCTGTAGCTATACCTCTGGCCTTCGAGCTATTATCAGGTAAACAGTAACACCATTTTTACAAAGGTTCTTGAATAAAGCTCGCACTCTTAAGTATGTATATAACGCACTCACAGCGAGTTATTTGTGACTTTGAGAAAGCAGGCGCGGATCTACGGGGTGGAAAATAAGGAAAAATTTCCCTTCCAAAATTTTTCAGTAACCAAAAATTTCAACTAGTGACGAAACTTTCAAGCAAAAATATTTTGGTATAAGCATTAAAACGAATGAAATTGTATCGTAACATGGACTGAGTTTAGCCTACGTCTGTCTACATAGTATGTAATATGAAAAAATCGACTAAAATATTTTGAATGAAAAAAATTTCTTATCTGGATCCGCCCCTGGAGAAAGGTATAATTTGTACTGCACTTCCTGAAAGCACTATTACATAGATATTACATACATGTTGTTTCTTTAATTGGGGTCAGTCCATATACGTAGAAGATGTCAAGTCGAAGGGGTACAGGAAGCTTACAATGTACATTGCAGCTTACAACTTACAACTTACATTGCTTACGAAGCTTACAACTTACATTGTAAAAATGGAGAAGTTAAAAAGTATATACATATGCTACTTACACTTGCCGTTTGTGCCATCACAGCATGTAAAATAAGTGTTTGAAGAACTGAAGGAAGATGCATCTAACAACTGTCTACTACCCTTTTGTCATTATTTCGATGCAAATTACGAATCAGGGCAGAGAGCCAGATGACGAATTATTCCAGCGATATTTAATATTGAAATGAATCAATATCCAGCCACAGAAAGCAATGTTCAGCGAATCAACACTGTAAGTGTGGCCTGGCATAACAGATTTCAAATTTTAGTAGGGAAACATCCCTCATTTTACACCGATTTTTTATAATGCCTTAAATAGAAATCAAAAAGAACAATCGGATACTGAAGTAACTATACAAGAAATCCGACTGGGAAGAAATGTGAAGATGCGACAAAGTAAAATGCGGATAACTGTGCAGAACAGGATTAGACGTGGTATCCGTATACAAAACATATCGAGAAAAATTGCTTGATTCAATATTTGAAAAGATAAAGAATATGATGTTCCTTTTTTGTGTGTTTTTGTTGTTTTTTGTCTTTTTTTAGTAAAATACCCTCATCTTCAATATGTACATGAATATCAAATAAAATAATGTTTATTCTTATTATTTCAATTTTAATTCCGGGTTATTACATTTCGGCAATGTTGGCTGCGAAATATGGAGACTTCGAAGAAAAAAAATCAGGAAAGATGATGTTTGGAAAAACGACCTGAAACCATTGGTAAGATATAAGGTGCAATAATAATAATTATAATAATAATAATAATAATAATAATAATAATAATAATAATAATAATAACAACAACAACAACTCCATATAAGGAGTACACGACTTTGTAGTTGGTGATGGAGCTTGAATACCCCCATGAGCCTGAGCAATGTCGCTGGTAGCCTAGTTACTGGTAGGGTCTCCCATGCTGAATAGGTTGAAGTTGAGGGGTCAGACGAAGGAGTACTTGAGAGGAAAGTGGGAAGGGTCATGAACCTTGGGATTTCCTGTTATCGACGCATGGAGGGTACAGGAGATAAATTGGGTTGGCACACAAGGCCACTGATTAGAGTGGAGGCCTCAACCTTGCATTCGCCAGCGAAGGACGCTGCCTTCAGCAGTCAGTGAAAATGCCGTTGGGTTCAGTAATGCCAAGGCAATCGCAGGGACCCTTGCTGGGCCCTGCGGGGGATGATTCGAGGCCACTGTGTCGCAGTAACGGGTAACAGGAAAAAACCCATGGGCTAAGTGTGAACTTGCTTCCCGCGAAACTTCACTTAAAACAATGAACAAAATGGATAGCACAGGAAATGAAATTAATCTTAACGTGCCTTGTTCAGCCAACGTCCCATACCTGCTCAAAAACCGAGCTAATGTCACCTTGTCGACGTCTGGCTATCACACGGATGTTAGTCCTAGGGACCCAGAGCCGACAATAGCTCGAAGGCGGCGTCAGAGATGGACACGGGATGAATTAAAGGAAGTGATGTGATGCTTTTACTATGCAAAAGCGAAAAATGGGGGCTCAGAAATAGAAGTTTTAAGATATGGAGAGAGCGGATCCCAGATATGAGATCTACCCTCGAATCAAAAAATCTTGCCAGTCAACGACGATACATACTCAGCAGTGGAAAATTTACAGTAGAACATATTTCAGAGAAATGCGGAGTATGTTTTTCGATCGAACTATCTACATGACGAACACTTAGAACCATCCCTTAAAAACAATTCTCATTTCGAAGACTCACCTCTTCCCAGTGAAATATCCGTCAATGGCGAAAATTCATCTGGCTATCAATCACACCATAAGGACATGATCCGGAACCTTCTTCGACGCGAGATACAACACGTTCACCTACTTCCATTCGCATCTCGTGCACCGTTGAGGAGAATATATGAAATGCTAAGCTAAGACAGTGATAGAGAGAGCGAATTATGTCTTAAATGAGGTTGTACAGACCCCAGGTAGAGATCTAGATATTACTGAAATCAATCATATCGTGTATGCAACTGGATATCTGGTATCTCAGATAATTTTGGGGTCAGCCAAGACCACCGACGGCCGGTAGCCATACAGAGTAAATAGCTCTGTATCCCTCTGGGCGAAAAGAATCATGAACCGAAAGCGGACACGCGTGAAATATCACTCTTAGCCTACTCATCTTCTAGGTAAACCCACACCTCTATAGTTCAATAAACCATGTTGAACAAAAATACTAAATTGAAAATGACACAACAAGGCTAATGATAGCTGAGTAGCTAAAAGAGAAAAACCACGCATGGATTAACGAATTAGACATTACAAACGTAGATAAGATTTCTGTGTACAGAATTGTTTTTTTGAAACAGATGCGAAGAGATTCTATCGCAATCAGACTCAAAAATCAAATGGAAATGCTGCCCCTCCTCCAAAAAATTACATCGGAACATTTTGAGCAAGAATTAGGGATGAAAGCAGATCCTACAACAAAGATGCATCTTGACTCCAATCTGAAGTTCATGCAGCCGATGGACTAGTAGAAACAGTGAAATATATTCAGAAATTATCGGAGAGACTCTTCCAAACAATTAAGAACATGGGAAACTGGAGGTCCCCAGGTATTATGAACTTATCGTTACCAATAATACAAGAAAGTGTGTGCTATTGTACCTGTTATATATTTATTTTATTTCCTTATTTCGTAAGCTGTGTAAACGAGCTATCCTGAATCTTCATCGCAAAAAGTTATCTTAAATCCTCTATTTTACTTTATTGCTCTTACTTCGTAAGAAGCGAAAGTATTGTAATCGTGCGTCGAAAAATGGAGAATTTTCGACAGATTGCCAGGTTCTGGTAACGAAGTAAAGTATATGTAGTAAATTACCTCATATAAATGTGATATAGTCAGAATCCTTGTTTGGTGGGTCCTTGATACCGAAAATTCGATTGACGGCAAAACGTGAATACTTGTCGATCCTTTCCTGGTCAACCTTAACGTCTAAACCGTTTAGCCAATTTTCTCCAAAATTGATCGTTTCTTGAAACTCGAGGTGGCTTGATTGGAAACACATTTTTATTTTTGGGAGTACATTTTCAAAATTTCCCAACAATAGCTCCAAATTTTTAGATTAAACTTTCTCCTCGGAGAGTAAAAAAATCGCCGTTATTTCGCCCAGCATAACTTTCTCTTCTTAAGAAATTCCTTCTCAAGCAAGGAAGTAAAAATGCTTAATAGATGGCACGAGTCTCATTTTCGTTAATATCCATGATTTTTTTTTAAATTGCATAAGTTCAAAATTTTTGGGGGCATCACCCTGCAACTACAATGGCAGAGCTTTTTTCCCTTAATGAAATCTGTTCTCTAAAGACATATCTTGAAATAAGTCCATTTATGATTTTTCCAAAATGAGTAGTTTTCAATGTGTCTGAAATATAGGCAATTTTATTTTAGTTTTTAGTTTTTTCACAAAACACAGCTCCAATCATTTTCTTTAAATTTTCTTCTTGTATGTATTAAAGAATGATATAAAAATGGAGCTAGTCCCATTTTCGGCTAACTCTCTATACTTTCGAAAATTGTAAAATGTTAACATTGCCAAAGTGAAGAGAGATATTTTTATCTTAAATAAAATCTGTTCTAAAAAGTCAGCAGTTTAAAAAGTGTTGTGTACAATTTTTTGAAAAAACTAGTAGTTTTCGCATAATTTGTGCTTGACATTAATGCAAATTATAAAAATAACATTTCTTAAAAATGGCCCCAAGGTCTTCTTTAATACTTTTCTTGAATACAACAAGGTACATTTCAAAGAATGGTGCAGGTTTCATTTTTATTGAATTCTGAATTTCTGAAAATTTCAAATTTAGAAGTAATGCAAGAGAGGTGTGCTGTTGTGCTGTCTTAGCAAAGTATGCAATATATGTGTTGTTGGTTGTTATTGTTTCCCATACTTCAGCTTATTGTTAATGTATTTTTCACAACTTTCTCTTTTGTAACTGAGAAGTCCAGGTATTTGAAGTCATCAAGTAATTTTATTATATAATTTTTAATATAGAATATGTCATTTCCACATCCTCCTGTTACAAAATATTTTGTTTTGGAAGTATTAATTTGCAATTTCTGTACGTCAAATTCATGTTTTAAATTTTTAAGTATCTAGTTTATAATCATCCTCATCCCCAACCATTGAAATCAGGTTATCTGTAAATAGTAAAATATGTACCAAATGTTGATTCTGTTATCTGCATTTGCACTACTCTGCAATTAGGCTCTCCATTCTTTCACACTTGGGCAATGTGGTATGTTTTAAAAAGAGTTGGTAACATACATATAACAACACTATTGTAAACCTTAACAAGTAAGTTACGCATTTGTTCTAAAATTTTCAAAATGCTACCAATGGGAACATTAGCACAACCTTTTTGAATGCCAACAATGGATGCCAACAATGCCTTCCACAGCCTTTCTTTATATTTTATTAAATGCTCCAAATGTTATCAACACATGGAAAACCAGCTAAAAACCACTTTGTTTTTCCAGATTATCAATTTCAGGCTCCATTCTTCTCTTAATTATTCACTCATACAGTCTCATACTCATATAGTCCCTACAATTTTCTTTGTTTTCTCTTTAATAAATTGATATAATTTCTACTTTTTTCCATCCCTCAGGTATTTCTTCTTGATCAACAAAGCATTTAATTAAAGCAATAATGCAACAATCATTGTTTCATTTAGTCTAGCGAGCATTTTAACAGTTTCTCCAGAATCTGTCATGCGCCCGAGACTTTTTTTTCCCCATTAGGGACTTATTTAATTCTTCTGGGTTATTTTTGAAATGTCTTCATTCATATGCACATTTTACTTGCATTATAATTGTTGCACTTACTTTCTGCTCTATTTTTAAAAAGCTTTTGAACATATAATTCCCATGGTTTTATGTTAATTGATGATCTTTTAGATTACCCAATACATCAAATATTTTCCATGATTCTAGACATTTACATGTCATTAATCAATTCTCTTCTCAGCATCTTTGCCACTAGTTCATTATCAAATAAACATTTTTTAAAATTCTGTTGTATCTTTTGTCTGTATGTACTGATACAAGTACTGATATATAATAGCAAATAAGTTTAATTTCATGGTTGGCAATCTCTCATTGATCTCATTTGTGGCTCTTACATAATTTCTACACTTTTTGTGCATGCTACTGATATTCCCGTTTAGCCTTAGTATTTCTGTTTATACCACTATTTACATACTTATAGATCTGTTTGATATATTTCCAATTCTTTATCCTTTCATCTTTGTTTCAGTTAGCAGACAAAAGTGCATGTTTAATTTTTCCAACTCACTAAACTCTTTTTTTGCCATTACTTCGCACATTTATAATTGGAATTTAGGCCTATACGTTCTGTTTCATTGCTTAAGTTGGCTTCAATTGGATCCATTTAAAGCTACTTAGAGTTTTTAACAAATCCTTATTTAATGGGAATAGGGCAGTGGTTCCCAACAGGGTTAGTATCAACACACTGGGGGTCGATGAAGTTTTAAAGAGTGTCAATGATGATGAAGGGTTTGATTGAGAAATCAATAGCCAAATATTCATCGGTAACTGATCAGTGCAACAGATGAAGAAGATCCTACTGATTATATAAATAGGATAGATTAAAAATATATAAATGAAGTTGTTAATTGTTTCTTTATATAAATATTCAAAACATCTAATAATTCTTGTTTATATTGCTAAAAATTGAAAGTTATAACAGTACAAAAAATAATAAAAACATTAACGCAATAAACACTTTTCAAAATTTCTGTTCAAATTCTTTGTCTAATTGTTATCAAGTCATTTATGTGCAATATTGATTAAAACATCAGGTAATATTTTGCCTTATGTAACAATATAAAACATGATTAATATTTGATAACTGAACATGAATATTTATTTCTAATTGTTGTTTGTGACAATCACCTGCATCTGTTGAACAGAACAAAATGTTATTCTCATTTATGTCACAATTGATGAAACAATTTTTTATTTTTTTGACAGTCTCTCTGCTCTGTAGTGTATGTTACTATAGTATATTTTATGACAAACCAGCCTCATGATGCGACAAGGTACATCATGGTATTAAACATGTGTGTTCTTACATCACTGGTGGCTCAAAGTTTGGGCCTGCTGGTAGGAGCAGGGATGAGTATTGAGGTAAAGTCCCTTTCACTGCAATATTTGCTATATTTAAGGTCAATTGTATATGCTTATTACATCATTATAAATGTAAATATTTTAAAATTTTCATTTACAGAATGGCATTTTCTTTGGCCCAGCATCATCTGTACCCATCATTCTTTTCTCTGGGTTCTTTGTCAACTTCAGTGCTCTTCCAACGTATATGCAATGGTTGCCCTATATTAGCTATGTTCGGTATGGCTTTGAAGGGACCATGATATCCATTTATGGACATGGAAGAGGAAAACTTAAATGCTCAGAAGCATATTGTCATTTCAAGAATCCTAAGAAGTTCCTTGAGGAAATGGACATGGGAAAATCTGAGTACTGGATAGATGCAGCAGCTCTAATTGGATTTTTTGTACTCATACGATTTGTAACATACTGGGTATTTCGTTGGAAGTTGCATTCTAAGCGCTAACTTTCACTGACATATTTTTACATTTTTCAAAACGTTTAGTACTATACTATAGCTTCTCCAATATTTTGAATAAGCTATAGAAAAATACATTATATTCTTATGACACAAATATTTAGGTAAATACCATAGAGAATCCTTTAAAGTGTATCCATTATATGGACAAACTACAAAGATCAAAAATTTTTTAGATACAAAAATATAGGTTTAATATTTCTGCAATGTTTTGTCATCTTTACCTCATTTAAGACAGAATAACCTATATTTGGTCACTTGAAGCTTCTTGTAACACTTCCCAACAAGTTATGTCAGTGTTGTGTTCCTTACCATTTAGGAGCTCAAAGTTTTACTACTCAACAGCACTTCTAAATAGAAATATACTAATTTCCAAATAAGTTTGTTAAAAAAATAAAATTATTATAAATCATTAATTGAAATGAGTGTAGTGCTTTTAATACACTACTTCCATTTATTTAATAACAGTAAAGCAAATATTTGGATATTGATGTTGACATGATCATTGTTAATTAATTTTATTAATTTCATTTTTTTCTTTACCTGTTACGACAATAAGCAACACATGGCACAAGGTTATGAAAACAGAAAGTTTTTTATCACATTCTATCATGATGTATATGAGGTGCATGTGCAAAAGTAAAGTATGAGAGAATGTAAATGTTAAATCTTGGTCTCTGAAATTCACATTTCATAATATGCTTATAAATTTGTCACATTTTCCTAATAAAAGCTTCAATGATATATGAATTCAAATGTCCATTAATTCAGTGCAGAGAATTTAAAATCAAAGTCAACAATCAGTTTTTGCACACTCGCCAAATGTTTTCTTTACATTACCAGGGATTTTAAAAAGAAAGACAAAATTGTCAACAAAAAAAAAATTAACTATGATTTTCATTCATGAAACAAGATTGAGTATTGTTGAACTTCGTCTCTGTATGGTTATCTTAGTCACTAAATAATTCATTCTATAATGTTCAAAGACGTGTAAAAATAATTGTGTATCTTAATACTTTGACACAACCAGTTAACCATCGAAAATAACTGCCCTAAATTACACTTAGAGAAGATAAGGGCAATGTGAATAATATTATTATTTAAAATTCTCCACAAAGGAAACATTTGGAGTTCATACTCTTCTGATTGAAGTGAATATGTAATGTATGACTTAACATTTAATGATGGTCACCGACATTTTCAACTGTTCTCATTTAACATTTGTACATTAAATATAAGATGAGAACATTCTTCATAAAATATTCTTTAAGAAGCTTCGTGATCTGTAAATGCATATTGATTTACATGAAGAAAGTAGACAATGACATTCCAACATTTAATAAAATGATTTCTTCCTGAATTATTACAGAACCATTAATCCTGAAATAAGACTAAACACTTGTTAATTCATGATTTAGTTTTTTAAGAAATATTTTCTATGCAATTGAAAATAAACATAATTGGCAATTTACATTTACTTAAAAAAGTAGTTTAGTAACCTATTCCTTAATTATTCCTGCAAAACATCATCAAAAAATTTAACAAAATGGCAATTTCAGACAAAGAATTCAGTACAAATGGTTACAATTCACAGAACTAGAGGTACCTGTACATTTGCAATTTTGTTCATTATATCAATCAAATAATTTATTTTTTAATATAAAATTGTCTAAAAGGGATTTTTATAATTTCTTATGTGCCATGTATACTCTACTATCAGTCATGAATGTTAGGTCCAGTTCATATATTATTACCAAATTATGACTGTTAGGACCTACCATTTTTGGCAAATATGGATAATATGCATGATTAATAATGATTTATATTTGAAACACATTAAATTATCAAAAAACATAACAATATTGGTGGCTCTATGTACCTGTTATTTGATTCCTTCTAGCAAAATATTGCAACAGATAAAATGAATCATGAAGCCAATTAATATTATCACAATATTTTTGTATTTAATTTAATGAATGTTCAAACTTGTATTCAGGTTATCAATCCAAGAATGCCGCTTACTTTTACCAAGATTGTAACTAGGTACAAAATGTCCATGATTTTGAAAGCTTTCAATGAGATGTTACAGAAAAAATGTGCATTAAATAATTACAAAGCTATTTCCACAGTATTTTGAAATATCACGCGACACTTAGTCTTAGTTACACAAAGATTTTTCTCTAATCTAATTTAAATAGAGTTTACTGTTAATTTGCTCTACATAATAATTAATTGCTCTTATTAATAAGACATATGAATTGTACTTGATAAATAATGTAACTTATGAGTATGATTTTCTCTCTGCAACATTGGAAAAACATTGTAATTAAAACGATCATAAGATTCATAGAGGCAAGATAAGATAGGACAGAATTCAACTATAAGTATTCATTCCAAGATTTATACAGTGAATCATGAGAACTGAATAAAAGGTGAATATTTAACACGCCAACACACCAAACAGGAACTAAAAACCAATAAATTAAGAAATCAGTGAAAAATTGCTATTGAAGGTGTTACCACTAATAAATTGTGGCATTATTAAACTCGTTTCACCCTTTCAGAATTCAACAATATAGGAAGTAGAAAGTACCACATACAAATATGTATGTATGTTCTTGGCACAACAGCTCTTTACGAACTAAGGTCTACCAGTAGGGGCCTTGCGGCAATGGGTTTAAGGGTACGTGTGGTTAGCGCATAGCCATCCCTATGCTGTGTTCTGGTCTTCTCAACCAGACATACAAATATTAAAAATTAAATTAAGTTCGGAAATGAAGCACAGATTAGAAATGAACTTAAGTTCTATCCCCAAAAGTGGAACAATATGATTGAAGATATTTTAAAGACAAAAAGTGCTGACTGAGTTTAGACTTCTCTGGAAACTGGAAAAGACTATTCAATTATTCAGTCCTCAACAACACAGTTATGTACAGTTCATAGAAAAAACTTCAATTATGCAATAACATGGGGTGAGTGATCATTAAAATATCTCCGATACAATCGTTTATATTTTCCACCTAATGCATACTTACGTAGTAAAGAGGGCAATTTCTTAATTTTGTATGAAATATATGGGAAATTTTGAGCAAATATTTTCTAAAATCCTTTCCTAATTCTTTCTTCAATTTTACTTTATCGAACTTATTAACGTAAGAAGAGAAATTATGGTAATTGCCCGCCGGAAACGGCAAATTTTCGACACAAAAACTCTTATTGCCAAGCCCTGATAAGGAAAAAGTGGATAAATCCAGTTGCTAAATTTGGGGAAAAAATCCTCTAACACGTGGTGTAGCCAGAATCCATGTCTTGTTGGTTTTTGTTCCTGCCGAAAAGTCGATTGACGGCAAAATTTGTTTGTCCGTCCGTCTGTACACAACGCAAACGCATAATCGGTTCTTGTTTAATATTTTCTCAAAAATTGATATTCCCCAATCGTTCTAGTTGATGTCGCGGGCCCTGTAATTTGAAACCGATATTTAATTTTTGTGTGTGTGTGTGGGGGGGGGGGGACATAACACGACGCCCTTGGGACATTTTCAAAAAAATGGCTTCGAATTGTTTGATTAAATGTTGTTGTTGAATAGTGCAAGTGACATTTAAGATAATGGTGCAGGTTTCATTTTAGTTAACATCCATGATTTTTCGAAAATTGAAAAAAAAAAGACTTTTTAAAATATCAAAATTGGAGAGAAATTTTTGTCTCAGTCAAATTCTGTTGTACAAAATTAGCTCTTTAAAAAGGTCATGTACACTTTTTTTAAAAAACTAGTAGCTTTTGCGTATTTTACAACAAAAAAATCTCAAAAACCCCTACAATTTTTTTCTTTAAATTTTCTTCACTTATGTAGTAATAGACGGTAAAAAAAAGATGGCGCTAGTCCCATTTTCGGGTTTTGCTCGTTTTTTTTCAAAATTAAAAAAAATTAAAATTACAAAATCGAAGATCGGGAGATAGCCACTGGGAGTAGGTAAAGGGAAGTTGCAGTTGCACAAGTAGATCACCCAAAAGATAATGAGAGTAATAGTGAGATCACACAATATCTGTTCAAGTGTGTTAATCCGCTTACGTGAAGAATATGGTTTGTGCGTGTATTCACCAAATATTTTCTGTCATGTGTGTGGCGAGTTTATTACTAAGTCTCAAAGACACCCCATCTCTCCGATCGTGAAAAAGGCGTACGTTGTATTTTGAATCAAAGGTAGATGAGGATAAGTGTTGGACTCCACAGATCTGTTGCATGGAACCCACCCATCTATGCCAGTTGCGGTACCACAGTTGTGGAGGGAACCTAGAGATCACATTACAGATTGCTACTTTTGTTTAACGCAAGTAACAGTAATATCAAGTAAATCAAAACACACAGTTTCTTATCCCAATTTGGAATCTGCAATGCACCCAGTTCCGCAATCTCCCCGTTTCACTCCCAGTTCCAAAAACCACTAACGAAATATTCACTGGAAGATGAAACAGACGATGGTAGTGACAAACCAACAGATCATGACGATCTTCATTACACGCTATCTGCAGCAAGGCTACAATCATAGCCATTCTCGCAGGCAGAATTGAACGATATTGTAAGAGATCTAAATCTTTCAAACAGGCAAGCAGAATTAGTTGGGTCTCGCCTTCAAGAAAATAACTTGTTACAACCAAACACTAATATAGCATTCCGTAATCGACAGCTTAATCTGTTCACTCTTTTGTCAATGACTGAGTATTTGGTGTATTGTAATGACATAAATGAGCTGCTTAGAAAATTTGAGATGGTTCACAATCCGGAAAATGGCGCTTATTTATAGATACGTCAAACTCTAAAAGCTGTTCTTTTACTTAACGGAAACGAGAAACCTTCGACACCAGTGGCCCATTTCGTTCAGTTAAAGGAAACCTACGAGAACATGCGGCTACTCCTGAAGTATACTGGCTATTCAATTCACAAATGGAAAATGTGAGGTGATCTGAAAGTTCTGTGACTTCTTGTTGGAATGCAGACTGGTTACACAAAATGTTGCTGATTTTTGATCCACAGAGACTGTAGGGCAAGGAAAGATCATTACTAGTCAAAAAGTGGCCTTTGAAAGGTTCAATTCCGGTGAAAAAAATGTGTCGCATGAACCCCTTGTTGACAAAGACAGTGTGCTGATACCACCACTCCATCTGAAATTAGGCTTTATGAAGAATTTTGTGAAAGCAATGAACAAAGGTGACCAGAGTTTTCAATTTTTACTATCTAAATTTCTTGCGATTAGTACTGCAAGAATTAAAGAAGGAACTTTCATTGGCATTTCCGTGACTTTACGAAAGGTACTTTTTCACAGTTGCAGACAGATACTGAGAAGGCAGTTTGGCTTGCCTTGAAAGATGTACGCGACAATATCTTGGGAAACGTAGTCTGAGAATTAATGGGAACTGACGGAACACATGCTGGGCTGATACAAGGTTCTGGGGTGCAACATGTCTCTGAAAGTACATTTTCTTCATTCCCATTTGAATTTCTTTCCACCTAATCTTGGTGTGATCCCATTTGATGTTCTTTCCACCTAATCTTAGATGTGAGTGACGAACATAGCGAGCGATTTCACCAACATATCGCTGCTATGGAAAGACGGTGTAAGGAAAGATGGTCACCAAACATTTCGGGGGATTACTATTGGACACTCTTACAAGAAGTTTCACCATCCATCCACAAAAGGAAAGTTTTCAGGAAAAGTTTCTAACTTGTAAGTACATTTCAAGCTTTATTTGGTTTTCCCGCACTGTTTTCATTTTATATTTAGTAACACAAACAATTAATCGTTTAAACAATTTTATACAAACAATATTTGTAATACAAACAATTTTTGTTACATGATCTGCTTATTAATCAAGTACAGATCCCTCCTGTATTGTTACAGAATTGTTTGCAAGTTTCTTCAAAGTCGTATATGTGGCGTATCTTTTCCAGACAAAGTGGTACGTGATGGAACATTTTTGAGTTCATTTTTGTAATCAACGTATGCGATTTAGTACTTTCATCTCGTGGCAAAACACAAAGTTCAAATTTGTTGCATTGTGATACAGAAAAAAATCCTCTAACATGAGATGTAGGCAGAATCCATGTTTTGTGTCCTTCCTACCGAAAAATCGACTGACGGCAAAACGTCTGTCTGCCTCTCCGTCTGTGCACAATGCTAGCGAATAAACCGGTCAGTTGATTTTTTTTCTACATTGATTTTCTCCAATCGTTCTAGCGGATATCGCGACTTCTGGGATTTGAAACCGATATTTCAATTTTGGGGGTACTTAACATGAAGCCCCTGAGACATTTCTAAAAAAATACTCCAATTTTTTTATTAAATGTATTAAATAGCGCAAAAGACGTTTAAGACTTCATGCCTCAATTTTGTTGACATCTCCGATTTTTCGAAAATTGCAGAAAAAAATGTTAACTTTAAATTTAGAAATAGAGTTTTTGTCTCACCCAAAGTCTGTTGTACAAAATTAGCTCTTCAAAAAAGGTCATGTACAATTTTTTTTTAGAAAAAGAGTAGTTTTTGCGTTATTTGCGATTGAAATGTACGAATTTTTCTCTCTCAAAAACCTCTCATAATTTTTTCTTCAAATATTCACTTGTGCAATAAGTGACGGTAAAAATATTATGCTTTTCCCATTTTCGGGTATCGCTTGGTTTTTTGAAAATTTCAAAACAAATTTAAATCTATAAAATTGAAGGTAGATATTTTTGCCTCAGACAAATTGTGTTGTACAAAATAGCCCTTCAAAAAGGTCATGTACAATTTTTTGAAAAAAAATGAGTAGTTTTGCCTATTTTGCGATTGAAATTTACAAAAACTTTTCTGAAAAACGCTCCAAATTTGTTCTTTAAATTTTCTCCACATATGTAATAAGGAACGGTAAGAAATATGGCGCTAGTCTCATTTTCGGGTATTGCTCGTTTTTTCTAAAATTGCCAAAAAAGTTTCAAAATTGAAGATATACATTTCAGTGATCTTTGGGTAATTTGCGCTTGAAATATACGATTTTTTTCTTCTCAAGACAGATCCAATTTTTTCCATGTAATAAGAGACGGTAAGAAATATGGTGCCATTTTCGGGTATTGCTCTTTTTTTTCGAAAATTACAAAACACAATTTTAAAAGTACAAAATTGAATATTCTTTGATTAATTGAGGAGGTTTTTGTCTCAGGCACAGTCTCTTGAACAAAATAAGATCTTTAAAAAAGGTGCTGTACAATTTTTTGGAAAAAACGAGTAGTTTTTTCGTAATTTCTGCTTGAAATTAATGAAATATATACAGGTTTCACACCAACTACGGGCCACGAGAAAATCTGAATGAATCATATGAAAAATAATTAATTTAATTTTATTTATAATTTACTATTGAATATGCCAATTTTACTTTTCACTCAATTCGTATTCTTAATGTATTGATATATTTATTTTTAAGCAATCTGCAAAGCTTAATAGAAATAACCC